ACCGAATTCCAACGTAATATGTACCGAAAACCGAACCGAAATACCGAAAAATACAAAATATTAAACCGAATACCAAACCGAAAACCGAAATACCGAAACCGAAATTCTAAAAAAATTCGGTTCGGTTCCGTGTTTCGGTTTTTCGGTGTTTATGCCCACCCCTACAAAAACATATATCCGACCTGACCCTCTACTGTTCTTCTTCCTCCTAGCGGAAAATCGCGAACGACAACCTAGCATCCCGTACCCGGCTCTGCGTCCCTCCCGTCTTGTCCTTTTTCTCTCATACTCAAATCGTGTGGTGTCTCGATCTCAGCATCTTACTCGTCCTTGCTCTCCAAATCGACGGCCTCCATTGTTGATGAAATTGGTACTATTCAAGCTTTCAACCTTATCTTCAAAGGATTTTTAATTTCAAATTTTAAATCCTTGTCCTTATCTATGCGATTTCCCCCTCTCTTTTTTTTTTAATTCTAGTTATTCCCCTATTTATAGAACCCTCGTCTTATTTGTTTGGTTAGACAAAAAAGTTGGAAAAACTAATGTTAGAAACAATGGAAAAGAACCAAACAAATAAATGCTATTAATTTTTAAGAGTTTCGTTTGGGTTATTCAAGTCTTTCTTTGAAGCCTTTGAGTGTGTGAGGTGTTGGAAGAAGCTCAACGTCTCCTCTTCTTGTTATTGTCCAGTTCGCTGCTCGAAAAAAGGTAACATCCCTCACACCTCCATATTCTATTTTACAATACTCATTCTATATGTTGTTCTGTTTCATGATCCTTATTCAGTTGTAAAGTTCTTCTTTTTGGAATTTTAGTATTTCAAAATATTGGCCTGATTAGTTCCTTCTATTCTTGACTTCGAAATGGTCTCTCTTGTTCATCATGGTGTTTTATTAATTTTGGATATGTATTGGTCCTTCTATGGTGAGGATGTGAATATTTTCTATGCGTTGTATTCATGTGTTTGGCTTGTTAAAAACATATATAATAAATTGTAGTCCATTGATTATACTTATTTCAATCCTTGAAAATCTATAGTCACTTAGCTATTTTACCAAGTTGAAATGCTTAGTTGTTGGTTGAAATGTGTTGGTTGTTATTAATAGATTCATTATTCTATTTAGATTTATATAAAATAATGATGTTAATTTAGTTATTGGGTATACATGAAGAATGATCATACGCAAATATGAATCTTTATGGTTTAGTTTTTATTCCTTTAAGTGTTGTTGAGAATTTTAACACTTCCTTTAATATCCATTAGTTATTTGTCTGTTCATTATTAGAAAATAAGCATGTAATATTGTTCTTTGAAACATGATGTTCATTACAATTAAATTTTATTGCAAATTTTTTCTTTCCTTAATTTTAATGTTTCATGATCACTTATAGCTTGAAATGTGCAAGAATTTTATTATGTTTGTCTTTAGTTTTAAACTGTATCATATTATTCCCTCTCCATATGATTACTCAATTTTCTTTGGATTTTTAGAACTATTAAGTGTATTGACTATTGTTTATTTCCACTTTATAAATATTTTCTACTCTAGTTTTGGGTGGTGTGTGTACTCCATTTAAAATTTGAAAGTCTCACCTTGTAACAATCATAAGATAAGTAATGTTTACCGTGTGTAGAATGCCTATGATTAGACCAGGTTTACACGGATTGATGCACGTAAAACAAGACCTCGGAACCCTTGCTACATCCAAGCCAACTAAATTGGGGAGTTAGTTGATCTTGGAAATGTTGGATCCAACCATGTAGGGCTCTCGAATACGAAGATTTACTTGAATGAGTCTTTACTGGACATAAAAAGAGGATATCTTAGGTTTGGAGGGTTTAGGAGTAAAATGGTCTTTTTCCATGCTAAGGGTAATATCGTAATTACCCTAAAAATATAATTAATTATTTAATTAATAAAGTGGAGGAGCAACTTAGGGAAACAAGGTCGAAATTGAGCCCTTGAAGTGAAGTCTTGCCCCACAAGGGTTGGAACCTAGGTGGGAGCAATGATTTAATGTGATTTTTTTAATTCAGGAATTAATTTAATAATTTAGTAATTAATGAATGATTTAAAAAGGAAAATCAGATTTTATTATTAATTATTATTTATTTATTAGTTAATGTATTTTTATGCCAAAGTCTCCTACTTGACTAAGTCTAAACTACTTCACCTCTTTTAACTCTCTCTCACGCTCATCTCTCTAAAGTTTCTTCACTCTTTTCACGTTCTCTCTGCTAAAAAAACACAAGAACTGATCAGCAACTAAATGTTCTTGACATTGGTAGAACATTCACGCTTAAAACTTATTCAGACATAGCCAAAAACGTTAGGCAAAGATAAGAGTTTTCCCATCGGGTTAGTGTTGACGCTTTTGGACTTAGACCCGTTCTTCCGAGGAGCTTTTGGTTTGCAAGTCAAGGGTTTAAGGTCAAAAATGTTTGAGTTTTCTTATCTCTTGGTTACTTTACCAAGATGCCCCTTAAGGTTCATATTATTCATTCGTAAACTAGGATTGTTTCCCCTTTTGACTGCCATGTCACTAGCTCCCAATGAATCATAGGTTGCGTATGATTTCTAGTAGATTTAGGTGTATGTTATGTTTTCGTGATGAATATGATTATGTTTGTGTAATTGATATTGTATGAAATACAACCATGTATTCGGAAGTTTGTGCAAGTATGTGCATGTGCAGAATATTACTGTGAATGAGGTCTCGGGTCAAGGCTTTAAGTTTGATATTGTTTTGGTTGTCATTTTACGTGCATAAACCTATGTAAATCATGATGTTCATTAAAATTGAAGTGGGACTGATTTGAGTATCAATATTTTGTCTAAACGAATCCATGAAATACACCCCAAAAAGTGTTACATGATCCATAAATTTTCCTATGTTTTCAAGTGGAACTATTGGTGAGGGCTTAGGTGTCGTTCTACCATCACCGGCGCTAGCACTGATGCAGCGTCGTCTCAGCCGCTGCGGCGAACTACCGGCGGCGGAGAAAGAAAGAAGTGCAGCTGCCGAATGAATCGCCCACAGGAGATTCGATTGAGGAAACACAATCATTTTAATTGAAACTGAATTGTTTAATAAGTTTTGAATTTCCAAATACTAAGTTCCCTAATTTTCAATCAGGGTATTATATGCATGCAACATATGTTACGTGTCCGGTTGAACTTTTTTTTAAATCATATTAGTTTTATTTTTTTTAGTTCTTTCCTTTTAAATAATTTAAGAAAATAAGATAAGAAAATCATTAAGTTTCCCGCAGAAATTATAAGGTTAGTTTAGGCTAAAGTATAAAGGAGTAAATCTGGAAATTTAATTGATTTTAAAGGGATGAGGCCATAAGGATTCGAACCTGTGACCTCACCCGTCAGATACCTTTAACTCACAACAAAAAAATAGGGTCAGGGGGATTCGGAATGGTGTATACTGGCTGAGAAAGGAGAATGCAAAAAATTATATAAATAAAATGGAAGGCGTGGGAATCGAACCCACGACCTCCAGGCAGGGAATAAAGTGAAAGAAAAATAAAATAAAGGAAATGTGAGGCATGGGAATCGAAGCCACGACCTCAAGGTTGTGAAGGACAAAGGAAATTAAAAGAAAATAAATTGAGGTTGTGGGTGTTCGATAAGTAAAAATTTAAATGAAAATAAAATAAGGAGGCTGTGGGGGTTCGAACCCACAACCTCTTAGTCTCTAGCGAAATAAAGAAAAATAAAGAGAGGCTGTGGGGGTTTGATCCCACAACCTCCTGGTTGATGTGAAATGAACAAGAAAAATAAATAGGAAAAAAAAGAGGGTTGTGGGGGTTTGAACCCACAACCCCTTGGCCAAGGGAGAGAATTTCTAAAGAAAAGGAACTAAAAAGAAATGTTAGTGTTGGGGCTCGATCTAGGGTCCTAATGTCATGATAAATAAAAATAAAATCAAGGAAAAATGTAAGTTTTGTCTAAGGGATTCCAACTTGGGTTCCCTTGCCCAAATTTCCATATTGATACATAAGTCATACGTGAATTAAATGTTCAAAAATAATGCCACCTACTTAGATCGAAATCAAGATCTTGGCATACATACAAGATACGTAAGTCTTATACTACATAATCTTAGGAAGATATGAGTCACTTAACGAACTATGAATAAAGCCTCATGGCTTTTATGTATAAACCCATAACTCTAGCATACATTTAAAAATAAGTGAACCTAAGAATTGTGTAATGAAATGGTGTAACCCTAAAAGGGTTAAGTACGAGTGTAAAACACAGTAAATTGACAAGTGTATTGGAATACGATGAAATGATTATTATGTAATGAAATGATAAGACCCTAGAAGGGTTAAGCAAGAGTGTGAAAGACACAAATGACCAAGTGCATTGGCATATGATGAAATGAACATTCACGTAGAAATGTGTGAGTAATTATGAAGAGCAAATATGCTAATGTTAATGAATGTGGTGACAAAATGAGAATAGGATAATGTAAAAGATGAGAGCAATCTCAAATGAGGCTAAGTAAATGTTACCAAAACGTACTCACCTATGAGAATGTAAAGTTAATTAAGAGATCTATCTCAACGAAAACTCTAATGAAAATATTGATATTAACACACTTAATACTAATGATTAGATGAGAAATCATCTATTGAGCTATGATGTCCACATACTAGAAGCCAGCTTCCATGACGTATGAGTTGAATGTACTTGAACTTTATACTAACCAATGATAGACTAGGTATGAACGGTGATGACTTCTTTTGGGGAAGGCGTAGGTTCACGTAACTCTCATGAGATAAGACTGTCTGGCATGCCAGGTATGAGTCTCCTTATATCTCCTAGTCTTTCAACCTATACTGCCAATATAGGGATTGGGAGAGGTTAAATTCCCATGTACGCTAGCATGTTTTGGGTCACCTTGGACAGTGATTCCACCTCTTTTCGGTGTGGGTGAGACACTTGATTTCATGATTTTCATATGATCTATATCGGTTAAAGTTAAAGTTCCCAATGAATGAATGAGGGCAACCTCAAATGATGCACATAATGAAATAAATGATACCAAAGGTGTTATGATAGGATAATCAAGAGGTGAATTAGACTCAAGTAATAACACTAGGTTATTCTTTATCATTGCACATCAAACCCAATGAAATTCTTAAACTACATCATAGGTATACGTGGTGTTCACTCTAGCCTATGAACGAATTGAAATGAAGTACATATGAATGAATGAAGCAGACTCTATGTTTGTTAATGAGGACTTCCTAGTAGAGGTCTCATATGTTGAACCCTCATTTTGGAAAGTCTTATTCTAAAGTCCCTGATTCCAAGGTCTCATGGCATATGCATGAATGCTATAAAAGATGTTATGTGTTATATGCAATATGATATGGTTAATGTGTAAGATTTTATGTTATATATGCAATATGATATGTGCAATGTGTAAGATATCATGTGCCGTTTGCAATAAGATAAGTATGATGATGCATGTTACTCTCATGACATAACTTTTCTAATCACAATTTGGAATGATCACTGACTTTCCTAATCCAAATTCGGAAAGTTCACTAACTTTGCTAATCCCAATTTTACAAGTCCACTGACTTGAGTTTCCATAATCATGTTGTTAGGAAAGAGCTATTCTTAATCATGCATGTCCTTGGTGTATGCTTGCATATACACATACTTAGTAAAAGTGTGTTCTAATCCCATACAACTCCATATTTTTAGGTGCAGACACTGGTGGACGCTAGAGTTTGCAAGTTGACGTGCAGTTATCAGGACGTGACGCTTTCATCAGAACTTGGTTGGTCCTTATGCTTTCGAGGATGTCTACCTTGATTATCTAGCTTAGATATAGTCCACTAGTGTTCCTTTCAACTTTTATTACATACTTTGTATTGGTGTCGTTTTGGCAAAAAAACTTTTAATGCAATTATGAACTGTTTCTTTCATTTGATTATCTCTATATTAGATGGTTGATTTGTCAACACCTATGATGTTAAATTCAAAATGTTTATCATTAAATAGGATTTTATAAAGTTCAAATTTTCCGCTAAAAATAACATAGATGAAGTGAGAATGACGCGTGTAGGTTAGTTTGTGACCTCTGAGAGATCAACAATGCCGGTCTCGTTTGTGGTCTAGGTTTCGATCATGACACATGTTGAATTCATCATGGAGTGTTTTACTATTTGTTGCTCGATTTAGTCAATATTAATTTGATATGATTAGCTTATTTAAGAATAATGCTAAGATTTTCTCTTTTTTCTTACTATGCATGAACTTGAACCCAGTCTTACTTACTCCCCATCCCTCGCATATCATTAAGTGGCAATTCGAGTCGGCCTTCATCCCTTTTTTTGATTTCAAAAGATGAAAGAATTTAAACAGGAGCTGCATTATAAGTTCGAAAGGTTGAAAACAGGCTGAAATACAGTTTTTATACACTGGTATATGATTTAGTTTAAGAAGTCTGTGATTAAAAATGGGAATACAGCAAGGGGTCGAAATTGAATGTATACATTTGTTATACGGTTCAATATACCAAAAAATTGTTAATATACTTCCCATATGCAGCGACATACCTTCTATGTATACCAAGATTTTTCTAAGGGAAATAAGCCCAAAAGCCTTAAGCAATTTCAGCAGGTCCAAAGGGCTAACGGGCTGAAACCCATGATTGTTGGCAAAGTTGTATGCTTAGGGTATTTGGGTCAAAAAGCCAATTTAATTAGATTTGGGCTAAAAAGTCTAAGTTTAACTTTTTCTCCCCCGTCTACTATTACTTATATAGTATTATTTGACTAACTTTGTTATTTTATGGTTTAATTAAATTAAATTCTCAAAGATAGTCATTTCACCTTTTTTTGATAATTATGCAAATTAATATATTTATATTTTTACTTGGCTTTATTTTATTTATTAGTCTTGTTACTTATGTTATTTCCCTTAAGAAATTCCCCCCTAGTTCATTTTCCCTTTAAGATAATAGAATAATAAAATTGAGTAAATAATATTTTAAAAAATTGAATTTTCTTTTACTTTATTTTAAAATTTGAAAGCTTATTTGAATGTCATTTTAGTCAAATAGCCGGCCAACCGAAAGTTAGCGGGCATTTTGAGGGCCTAACACCTTTTCAAAATTTATATTGAATTTTGAAACACTTATAGTTTCAAATTGATTTGTATCTGTTCAAATCCTTTTGAAAACTTATGTTTTTACTTGATTTTTACCAAACAAAATTAAATGGCCACTCTGTTATTATGGAAATTCAATTTTTCTTAAATAATAAGATTAATTGATTTTTCGAAACTTAGTCATTAGTCATTTTTCTTTTCTTCTATTTTTTAGTAAAACAACTGTCAAATAAAAATTTAAAACCTTAGTCTTGATCACCGAGGCTAGAGGGTTATTTATAGGTATTATGGGGTGATTAAGGGGGGAAATCCATTGGAGAAATTTTTAATTTTATTCCCCCTTTCCAAGGCAAACAGTGAAAGAGATTTGAAGATCTCTTAAAAAATACGAAAAGGGAACAATGATTTGATCAATTAAGTTGCTAGGGTTATGGGTTCTTCAAGGTGTTTGGATGAGAGTACTTGTTTCTTCGCGTGTGATTTTTTGGGTTTGGAACACGACTTTCTCATTAGATTTGAATATCGCGTGAAGAAAAATAACATGCAGGGGTTGCGTACTAGTATTATACACATCTACTAATTGTTGTTGTACTGGAATGGGTTTGGGCCGGGTAATCTAGAAATTCAAATAGGGACGAGAATATGTTAGTTTGAGAAGCTGGAAATATGTAAAAAGGCCAAAAATTTTGGTCTCAAAATTGAGTAAAGGTGGGGGCAGAAATGGGCAAGAATTATAAAAGAATATGACTATTTGAATTTCAATTATAGCCAATTCGGATTAAGAAATAAAGCCAATATGCATTTAAGTAATAAAATTGGCTAAAAAATTAATAAAATGATTTACTAAAATCAAATAATAAGTTTCTTAATTTTAATTAGAATAAAATAAATAACTCAAGTATAAACTAATAACTCAAAATTATAACTATGGCATATAGTAATTTGATAAAATATTTAAAAGAAATTGTTAAATCTCTTGTGATGATTTTCCAATATTTATAATACTGTATGATTGTAAAAATATACATATTTATTATTTAAAATGACAAAATTAGTTGAAAAATAACTTGAAAGTATTTTGAATTTCATGAACTTATTAATTCAAATGTAAACCACTACTAAAAATATATTCTGAGATGATTTTTGAATATTCATAAAAATACATTAATTATATGTACACAATTATATTTAACATATATATTATTTAAAAATAAGAAAAGTGATAAACTTGTTAATAATATTTTTATTTTTGGAATTTTGAAAAAAAGTAATTATTTTAAATCTTTGAAATCGAAGAAGCTCAATGATTAATTTATTATGTGGAGGTCCTAAATTGGGTGTCAACACTATACCTCACATGAGTTGGACTGATGAAAGAAATTTGAACAAATTAAATTGGACGAATCATGTTTTTATGGAGTACATCTTCATCTTTAAGAAAAAGAATATGGTACGGACATTTGGAGTTATGGCCAAACATCTGTATCAGTTTTCCTACATATCTCGGGCTATACGAGAATTAAACCCACTTGTAGTTCGACACACTTAAGTTAAAGCATGACTATCGAAAGGTTCAAAAGTTATCTCGATATCAAATTATGAAGATATCGAATTACTCAAAAATAATATTTAAGAGAAAATGTCAAAATATAGCCGAGTTTCAACATGAACCTGCCTACATATCCTTACACATTAGGAATTGGGCTTCTTACTGTTTGACTCGATCGATTGAAAAGGAAATCTACTATAAAATAACCTTCAGTTCTGAAGAGTGGCAACTGACAAGTAAGTCGAGTATGAAAGAGAGGTTTGAAATATCTTAGGTAAGAATGTGGCGCGCTTAACACCCATGAATAAGAACTTGCACGGACATAATTTCCATAGCTCTTGATATATTGTCACTTGGATTGAAAAGTTGCTTTTGGTGAACAAAGAAACATTTCTGCATGTGAAACATAAATCTATAAACCTAAATAAAAATCCACATACCTTCTTATTAGGGTGTGATATGATTGCGGTGAACGTAGCTCCTTAGATGTCGTCCAAAGAGATTGGTACTCCACTTTGAACTTTGTCCGATTTCTCCTCTACGAAAAAATTCCACATTATGTTTCGTCCTTTTTTATTTTGTTCGCATCGGTTGTTTTGTTTGAGTATTCATCCTCCCAGAGGTCCTCAACAATGGTTGTGATAAAACTCATTACTGTAAAATATATTTCAAATGGAAAGATAACATCATTTACCTTATTGGAACTTAATTGTTCTCGATGAATATTTTATGTCAACTTCGTTTAGTTTGACGTAAAGAAAATAAAGCATGCATATCATATTTGTGACTTGACTATTAATTGTACTCTTCTTTTAATATTGAAGTAGTAAAACAAAATAATGTAATATATTAATAGCTCCGTTGATGTTTTGAATATGATGTCCCTCTCCCGCAGTTTGATATGCAATGGACCTTTTCACAGTTTGAATATGTAATGACCTTCTAGGAGGTTTAAAAATGCAATGGCCCTCTTTACAATTTGAATATGATGTCCATCTTGGCGGTTTCGATATGATGCCTTTCTCAAAATCTTTGAATACAAATGCCCCTATTGTCATTTTAATATGCAATTGACCTTTTGGAAATTTAAATATGAATGGACCTCTCGGCAATTTGAATATGAATGTCCCTTTTGGCGGTTCTAATATGATGGCCCTCTCGGCAATTTGAATATGAAGTGCCCTCTTAGCAGTTTTAATATGAATGTCCCTCTTGGCAGTATGAATATGATTTTCCTCTCGGCAATTAAATTATGAAATGGCCCTATCGGTAGTTTGAATATGAGATGAACCTCTTCTCAATCTAAATATTATTGGCCCTCTCGGCAGATTGAATATGAATGACCTTCTTGGAGGTTTGAATAGTTTTAGGTTCATTCTTTCATCCTAGTGTTTCCCTCCAATATTTTCGTTTAAGTTTAATCTTAAACATCATCAGAAGTTAAATAAATTTTCACATAACCATAATTCAACTTAGACACTAACTTTAAGTCATGCTCCATGTTATGACTCTACTTAAACCTATCACTCTCTGAGTCATTACATTATCTACCACTTAGTAACATTCGTCTTCGGATAACACTTTAAACATTTAAGGACTAAAAAACCAAGACTAGAAGTCCGAAAGGCAAGAAACATAAGAATAATTTAGAAGCGAGGGGGGAAAATTAACATCATTCTCAATACATGAAAATGCATTAAAAGAAAATAGGAACTACATACACAACCTAATATGAACAAGGCTTATCATTACATATTATATTAGGAGGAACTACCTTCTCCCACTCAAATAAGATCAACATAATCAGTGAAGTGACAATATTCCATATTCACATAACTATGCATGCTCAATGCAACATCTCATGTCGTCAAATATGCAAGCAGCATGACAAAGCAATAATAAACATGAGAAACTTGTAAGTCATGAAAACCCAATTTACATACTAAACATGAATTCCCATAAAAACATGCATACATAGTGTGATCATTAAAAAATGCTCAAGCTACTAACATGACTCCAAATAACTAAAAATTCAAGAGAAACTACTTACCTCAAGTTCTCATTGGAGGATAAGCAAAAAATATAAGGATAGTTGGACTTCATTTTGGCCTCGTACTCCTAAGTAGAAACCTCAACTAAGTGATTTCTCCATAAAACCTTAACGGAAGGTACTTCGTTACTCCTAAATCTTCACTTGTCAATCCAAAATCTCTACGGGGACTTCTTCATAAGCAAGGTTCTCATCATCCTTAAAACCTTCTAAAG